AAGCGCGTGATTGTCGCATGTGTTGTATGGTGGGTATGATGCAAAGTGGCGCAGTCCAGGAGCGATCCAATCCATGTCCAGACCAAGTCCTGCTAGGCGCGCTAAATATTAGATGCTAAAGGTTTGAACATTGTGAGTAAAACTATATGTGAAAATATGAAGGGAAAATGGTAGACTTTGCGGATGTCCTATCCGACTTGTCTTCTTCGTGCAGCTGTCAACATATACACCTTCCTATGAGCAAGGCACGGGAAGCGCGCATGTGTGCGCGCGCGAGGCGTATGGGCGCGTGAATATTGCGCGCGTATGTGCGTGTGAGCGTGGGAAGACTGCGTGCATATGTGCGCGTTCTAAGGTAAAAAGGGGCATGGTGCCGCGTCATGCGTGCGAAGAGAAAATAATACTATTGAGCTAGGCGGGCACGATCTATGGTTGTTTTTCTTCTATGTTCTTCTAGGCAATCCCTATATGCATATATATCAGTGTGTTATTAGTCTTTTGGACAGTGTTATAATGAGAGAAAATGAAATGAAAGAGCGCTGGACGAAACCCAGGGTAAAACAAACAATATCCTATGAAACAGTGTTGGTATATGTTCCTCCTTTGATGCGCGGCTGAGGCGCTTGATCCTCCTCCTTGAGCGCGTGCGAGTGCGCGTGACTAGCGCGCTTTGCGTCTCTTGCGAGCTGACGCTTTACCCAAGGTAGGGTTGGAATGAGCGAGGCTGGCGCGCTTGGGGGGGGCTTGTAACTGGCAGAATGAATTCCTGCACAACGCGCTGCAGGTTGAAGGCGCGCCAATGGGAGGCGCTGCAAGGGGTGTAGGGGCGCCCTACAAGCTGATAGGATGCGCGCGATGTGCGCGCCTTGGTGCGATTTCGCGCGAATTTAATTATATTGGCCGAACACGCGAGGAACGGCCATTTCTCTGCAAATGCATTAGCGAGAGACATGTATAGTGAAGAATTAGGCGCAAATGTTGCGCCAATGGGCTGTAAGGGTGGTATATCAAGGCGCAATAGGCGCATAGGTGAAGGAGAATAGTGCGCATCAAGGCGCGCAGGAATGAAATTGACATGGTAAGCAAAAGCGCGCAGAATGTGAATAAATGTGGGAAGTGCAAAGTTAAAGATGATGATAGGGGAGTTAGGCGCATATGTATGTGTCAGGCGCGCGCCTAAGTCGCGCCTGGATGGCTGATTGAAATATACTTTGTGTTGAATGATAGAAATGCGGTTTAGAAGGGGAGAAGCGATAGAAATGCGGTAGCGTGAAAACTCTGCTAAAATTATGAGTGCGCAAGGCGCGGGAACGCGCACGCGTATTGCGCGATGCGCGTAATCATGGCGCGTGAACAAGGGGTGGTGCAAAGATGAACCTAAAGTGTTTGGAAGCGTCATATAGCTCCTTAAGAGCTTCAAACATGAAAAAGACAAAAAATGCGAAACAAGATGAGGAAAAATATACCGTGCCTCTAGGCGCGCGCATTGCGCGTCCTCAGGCGCAATATGGTGCGCCTGAGTCGCGCCAGGGTCGCCTGAGACATGCTCTGCTTGGTGGTTAGATGGCGTGATGCATGGATGCTTTACTGGCATGCGATAGTCACTGGAAGCAAAAAGTGCGATGTGCGCGTGATCGCGAGTGACATCTGGAATTTCCAGAGACAAACTCTGGTTGATGCAAGGTGCAACTTGAGCCTCTGATGCGGTAGGAGGCTCCTCTATAGGCGCGCTAAGGTGCAATAGATGTTTAGGGTCATCCCTGACCTCTAATGATGCGAGCAGTGATGGTGATGGTGCGATTGGCGAGGTTTCTTCCTTAAGTGATGCGATAGCGAGGGGCGAGCGTGTTTCTAGCGGTGCATTAGTGTGCAATAGATGATTAGAGTCATCCCTGACTACTGGTGATTCGATAGCGGTAGGCGCGCGCAATGCGATAGCGATAGGCGCGCGCGATTCGAGCGATGGCGCGTTAGTGTGCAATAGACGTTTAGAGTCATCCCTGACTTCTAATGATGCGATTGATGGTGATGATGATGCGGATTGTGAAGGAGATGGTGCTGATGAAGATGATGGTGAAGAGGCGCCTGCAGTGCGCTTCTGGTTGCGCTTTGTGAGCGCGCGCTTGAGTTCGTGATCTAAAGTGGTGCATTCTGGTGTGGCTTTGCATGCTGGCGCAGTTGATGGTTGAGGTGCGCGTAAATCGCGCGAAGGCGCGGGAAAGGCGCGCGTGCGAGGCGCAAGAATAGGAACTGGTGGCCTTTTGTCAAGTGCAACTTCTGAGGGTGCGCAATAGAAGAGTCCTGCTGTCGCATTAGTACTGGTGGTCGTATCCTGGGTTGCGTGGCTCGCGTGATAGCGATCTTGGCACTTAGCCACTGGTGCGCTAACTGGCGTGTTTGGCGCTATAGTGGGCGCGCTAATTGGTGCGCTTACTGGTGCGCTTGGGGCGGGAAAAGCGCGCCCAGATAATAGGAACTGCGCAGCTGCAAAGACGTCCATAAATGGGTATGGGTCGTATGGATGGTGGTCAGGAAACTTGATCATAAGGCGCAAGCGAATTTGCGCCTGAGCGTCGCTAGGGATTCCTTCCATGAATAAGCAGTCGCGTTCTACCTTTCCAATATGGTCTTCATCCATGAGTGGCTGCATAATCTTCCTGAATGCGCGCAGGTAATTGCTGAGTTCTGTGCAAGAGGTCATTGGTTTGTTAGCGTATTCGCGCGCAATAGCGCGCAAGTCCGCGAGCGCGTAGCGTCTTTTACCATCCCATCCAGGATACATTACCTTCACTTCTGTCATGAATGCTTCATAATCACTTACTGCCGCTTCTGGCATACCTCCCCATAGTTCTCGATCGTCGCGCTCAAGGTAGCGGATAATACCTTTAATGCGGTCGTGTCCTTGGAGTCCTGCTTCATCAGCAAGCTGCTCATAGGTGTCAATAAACTCGGCCAGGTTGTCTGTAGTGCCATCGAACTTGGGCGCGTTTGCTGTGCCGCGGATGGGCATTCTATAAGGCATTGCAGCGTGAAAAAGCGCAGGCGCGCGCGAGGCGTATCACAGGTGCGCGCGTGAGGCGCAGAGGCGTGGGAAAGCGTAACTAAAAATTGGTTAGCTTTTGAATATGTAAAGAGATTGACCTTTATGTGTTAAATAGCGTGAAGTGCGAAGATGCGCAAAACTAGATCTTGCTGACTGCTCCCCTCGCGGTGGGCTCCAGTTGTAGAAACAACAATACAATGAGGAACAAAAGAAGCTCCTGACTGTATCTGTAAAAGTTGTAAGGTCGCGCGTTGCCTAGTCTGCGTTGCTTGAGGAGACAAGTGCGTTCGACCCTAAAGGGGAGGTGAGTACAGCAAAGATCTAGAGGTATGCGCGGCAACGCGAAGCGCGAGAAAGCGCAGGTGCGCGCAAGGTACGAAGGCGCGGGAAAGCGCGCGCGCGTAAGCGGTAATAAGAGAGACTAAGCTTAAGTGATAATATGATGCAATATAAGAAAAGAGAGATGCAAAGTGTAGACAAAATGGAGTTCTACTATGTACTGCTAAGTAAATAGTGGGTGATAACTAGTAAGTTAAAGGGAAAAAGTAAGGTAAATAATAGTATGTACTGCTGGCACTTATATAGCGCGCCTAAGCGCACTCATGCGGAGCCGAAGCGCTACCGAGTAGGTATGTAAAAATATATATGAGTGAGAAACTATGATAAAAATAAAGGTGGAACTATGCTAATAAAGGAAATGGAAATATACGCACTAGGGAGCTTGGTGGACAGTGGATGGATGCATCTGGATGGCTGGCGCTATAGGGCGCGCAAGCGCGGGAACGCGCGCGCGCGTATACATCGTGAAGCGCGGGAATGGTGCGCGCATGGCGCGCGTTGCGCGGGAAAGCTGCGCGTCATATAGGAATCACTGTGGATGGTACACAGAGTGATGCTGCGAGTTGGTGCTGTATACTCCCTAGTGTAAAGCGCCATATCACACTATGAGATGCACGAGTCTCTACATCGGATTGGAGGTGACGGGACACCGACTTCATCAAGGATGTCGTCGTTGAAATCTTCAGCCAAATGCTCAATATCATCAACTTGAAAAGGCCTCGGAATCCGTCTCCTGGGAAGCGCAGGTTCCTCTGAATAGTCAAGTGATCAGCAAACATCATGATTAGTATATGCATATACTACAAAATACGGACCCAAGATATTATGTTCAACTTTGAATGTATTTCTGGAAGCGGGGCCCTCCAAGTCCATTGAAACATTGTTTTGTTCATTTTCTGAGTCCGAGTTGGAGTGCTGCGAGGCCACGGGTCCTGGGGCACCAGGTAACACGCGAGTTTCAACAGATCCAAGCTTTGTTATGGGTTTGCAGGGGGCAACTGGTCTTAGATGGGCCCTTACAAGCCCAGTCCTCGCCGGCAAGATTTTCTGTTGACATGAGTTAAGAATCAGTCGTTGAACTGGGATGAGTCCGTTCGTTCGAAGAGAAAGATTACTCACTTGCAATGATGGTTCGGACAGATTCAGAGCTATATTTGCCGAGGTTGCATTTCTCGCTCGCTGTAGTCTTCTCTCAGTTGCAAGAACGCTGGATTTCTTGAAAAACCGGCAACTTGTGCGATGCCTATTCAGTCCCCGGTTGTCTGTCACCCTCAGGCTCTCCCAAGAGCAACCCTGAGCACCACACGAAACCATTGTAAGAAACAGAAGTAGTAGCCAGAGAATATCTGAGAGCCGCATGATTACGCTGGCTTGAACCTGAGCATGAAGTGACTAGTACTACTAGTAGTAGTAGTAGTGCTGGCGTCCAGGCGCAACCTGCCGGAGTATCCCGGCACCATCATCATGATGCCGTCAGAGCGTCTACGCCGTTCACTTCCTGCCATCTTAGTATAACCACATCAACGAGCCATCCACGAGAGTTCACACCCCTGAGGGAGGTTTCCTGCAGCATCCTTCAAGGCCTTAGGGATGTATGGAAACCATTGTGCGTTCTGAATTAACGCAAAGAGTATACAGAAAGAAACATAAAGTGGTAAGAGAGAATAAGTCGCCGAATGATCCGTGGGTCCAGACAGTCATTCCGTTGCAGATGCCTGACATTCGAGACAGGTGACACATTCGCCTCCAGGTGAGAGTCAAGACACCATGAACTTTCTTGCAGTTGCACCTTTTTTGAACCACGGCCACTTTGAGAGACACTCGAGACCTTCTTATTGAACTGGATGAGAGACTTGGTGCCGTTAGCAGTAAGGTATGCCTCCATGTAGTCGGTGAGCACTTGAGAACCTGCTCTGGGTACGGTAATGGTATGTGTGAGGCTGTGCATGAGTTCCAAGACAGAAATGCACTTACTTCAAACACTTCCATTCTACGTGTCCAAAGGTCTGCGACTCGACACCACCGAATGACAGCGTGTCAACAACCCATTCAGTTAAGGCTAGGTCAAACGATCCCGTGCTGCTATTGGATACTTCACACCGATTGATAGTATTAGTGGAGAGAGATGTGCGCGGAATTTGGAGGCTGATGGTGGGAGTGTACTTGAATGACATGAACGAGCGAAGGGAGTATCCATCGTGCCCTCATGTTTTTCCAGCCCGAATCGACATTTTGCTCCAAGTCTTTCATAAGGTCCTTAGCGAACGGACTAACGACGTCCTTGACAATATTCTCAACTCCTGCGGCATTGTACTGAGGATCCACACCCAATTCCTGGGCATGGAAGTCAGGAGGGCGCGATGTCTGAGAGACTCGATAACATTGATTGTTAAAGTAGAGGAAATGCCCTTGTCTCTTTGACGTCATATGATAATCAATAAGGCAGGAGTTTAAAGGTGCCCTGCATGAACCCCAAGTGAATGGCCTACGGTTTACAGTTGTCGGAGGAGTTGATTCAACAGCGTCGCTGTTGTTGAGCTTTGAGTAGTCGATTGACTCCCCCAAGCGCCTCATGATGCCAATCTTGTAATTGCCTTGAGCGTCCTTCTTTGGCAGGGGGAACCTCGTGGCGCCAACATCCTAGTTAGCCGGAAAGCCAAAAGTTTACATGGTCAGCATCTTTGCCGCAGTAGTGTCGAATGAACAACATATGCAGTAGTCATATTCGCCAGCATTTGGGAAGTCGTAGGTAAGGAGGCGTCCACCGGTGTGGTTCGAACTTGAGTGACAGTTGACTTCTGATGCCGGAAACTGCGACACTAGTCTGCGGTAGTCACATCAGAAAGATGCAAGAGTTGAACGACCAGCTAGATGACATCGAACTAAGTACTGACCAGCCCGTTTGATATCAAGATGACTACCCATGAGGCTCAGGTCCTCAACGTGGCGCAAACATATGTTCTTCCACTTCTTGAAGGCAAAGCTGAGGAAAAGGTCAGATGCGTTTTCATAGAGATGCAGAAGGTCGCGTACATTGTTAGTGCATGGGTGTTCTTCTGGCTGACTTCCAGTTCCCACAACTTGATTTCAATGACACGGTTGGTCCAGAGTCTTAAAGCATCCCGCTTTATTCGCTATAATACAATTAAACTGAATTTCAAAGCTTGAAAAATCGTCCGACTTGCCAGAGATACGAGGTCATCTATTTGCTGCGCTGCCAGCCGGCGGAATCGTATTCTTTGATGTTTCTGGTGCCATGCTTTAGGTGCAATAAAAATATTAGAAACCAACTAAATCAGATCATAGATGCGTCAACTTTACCTGTCATGAAAGTGCGAAGTCGACGAATCTCGAGGTGTTCTATAATAATTAAGTTTCTTCTGCCTTTGGCGTTCCTCAAACTTGACCTTCCAACCTTTCAAAATCCTTCGCTGAAGAATGAAGTTCTCCACGAATTGAGCTTGTCTCAGCAGCTTCATCTTCGCCCTCAGCTGGATGCGCCACTTGAGTAGCGCATCATACTGCACACAAGCAAGGTTGCATTGAACAGCGAAGGCACGGCAGTTTTGGTAAATTGTATAGACCTGATGCCAAGTTCGCAGAGCAGAAGAGACAGTATATGAATCGGAGTGCATGGAGAATGCGAGAGCATAATCTATCTCGTCGTTAAAGATCCCTGGGATAATCTGATTGCTAAATTACACTCACCTTCAAGATGCTTGCGCTCTCTCATGCGATCTTTCCAAACAGCCTACAAGAGACACAAAAGCTACCGTGCATCTGAGATGAAAAACTTTGAGTATCATGCTTAGCAGAGTGATCCGGAGATTGACGCGACCATGACAAGGCGATACAGCACCTGATGAGGAATGTGAATGCCATGAGCCTGGAAGCCTTTGGCATTGGGATACTGGTAGATAATTTTATGCAGGTTACAAAAACGCTGCAGTCGGCTCAGAGTGCTTAGTCAGCGATTCGCCCAAGGCCCTGGGCATGAACGGATCATAAGGTCAACATGTATTTGTGGCTACCGAGGCGTTAAATCTGCTCCGACATTTGCTATGGAGTGCGGACTCGCAGGAGGGTTTTGTAGAACGTAAATGTGGGACTCTGACTCCTAACTATTACGGCGCACTGGGGCTGTTAACAGTAAACGATGCATGAAGTTTAACAGTCCGCGAAATTCTTCTAGGTCAGTTCCTTCCAATGAGTTCATCCGGTCCGTCATTCTCTGATAGGTCATGCTTCCCTGAGCATACAGATCTACAGGTTTGAACCAGCCGGTCTCCGCGCATTGCCGTATTTCCAATTCACAGGCTGTTGCAGAAAGGGCGAAGATATTTCGAAGCCCAGGTTTCCAGTCATTGAGTGTCTTGAGGGGTATATATTGACGATACCCCTGATCGATCAGTATGTACTCTGTCATGATGGTGACAGTACGGTTCCCGAATGGGACACGAAATGACTGGAGTTGCCCACCATGTTCTCGCTGAAGTAGATCACATATGAGCAGAGTAACGTTGAGATACTATATGCGTACCTGAACGATGGTATCAAGAAAATCATAATTCGACAGCAATACTGACGCTTCCGTTTTGCGCGATTGTGCAATATTGTTCGTGTTCTTGAACAAAATCTTAACGGGTAGATCATAAGCTCCAGCCACCAACCCCCGAGCACAACTCTTGCCCTGGGAGTCCTTATGAACCTGTTTAATGATCCCTTTGAGCCAGATAAGAGTGCCTTGGCCTTCCGTTCTCAACTTCCATTGCGAGAGGGCCGTGGCTATGTCTTCCATGAGTTATGTAATAAAAAAATGAGGAAAATGAATACCGTTGTCGTCATTCCTATGGCTAGTAATCGCATCGTCGAGCGCTGCATCGGCTAACTCATCGATTCTGTCTTTGGTCGGATACAGGGTTTCCCGAAGTAGAGACACGTGCATGAGTCTTGAAGCCTCCGCCTTCACCTTATCGACTAATAAGGATTCGATTGGCAAAGGTGTGGTCGTTTGAATAGCCCGCCTTTGTGCTGAGGAAAGGTACGGCTGAGAGGTGGTAGAAATTACCCGTTTGACGTGTTCGAGCTTTCGGTGGGCCTGTCTGCTCCTGTCCATCCTTGCACTATAACCTTGGGATCCGGGTTGCTCTTGGTCGGTTGAGCTGGGGGCGCTCAAAGCCGACCAACTTGATTGAGCTTGACTCGTACTTGGATCAAGGGCAGTCGGGAAAAGAGTTGACATATTGGAAGCATTTTGGGCTATGTTGGAGGAGCCGTCATGAAGAACCTCGTCCACAGATTGCTGAGATGTGCTAAGGGTGGAAGGCAGTGGCTCAGACTGTGCTAGATGGTTGTAGCTGCCACCTGCGGGATCTTGCGGCAAGTAAGAAGGCTGATGGTTAGAGTTACCAGCTGCAGGGTGCGAATCACGATAGTCATAGGCAGAAGCCACTTGACTTGTGCTCGGATTGGAAGGGGTCGGATAAAGGGAGGTTGGGGGAAACACTGGTCCCTGTGGGGCGCTCTGGGGATACTGGCTGTAAGCTTGCTGGAATACGCTAGATGTAGAAGACGCCGGTTCCAATTGGACTGGTGTGTTGTAGCTACCACCCACAAGATTCTGCGAGTAAGGAGGGTGAGAGTTAGAGTAGGCATTGGGCGATGGTCCGGTATCAAAAGCTTCAGGGTGATGCTGGCTACTGCCTGCAGGAGGTAAGTTATGATAGCCGTAGGCAGAAGTCGCTTGACTCGTGCTCGGTTCATAAGAGATCGGATGAGAGGAGGTTTGGGGAAAAGCTGGTCTCTGCAGGGCGCATTGGGTTGCGTTCAAGTTGGACAAGCCGTCCTGCAGATACTGGCTGCAAGCTTGCTGAAAGGTGGTAGCTGTAGAAGACAGTGGCTCCGACTGGACTAGACTGTTGTAGCTGCCACCTACGGGGTTCTGCGAGTAAGGGGGCTGATGGTCAGCGCAGGCAGATGTATCATCCACTGGCCGGAGATCAGAAACATCAGGCTGATACTGGCCAGCAGTTGCAGAAGGATTGTGATAGCCATAGTGGGAAAAAGCCGCTTGACTCGTTCTCGAGTCGGAAGAAGTCAGATAAAGGAGTGTGCCAGTAGGAGCTGGTCCATGGGGAACGTTATCGACAACGTTGGAAGAAACATGATACTCGGACTGGTTGGCCGTGAGAGGCTGCTGATTGAACGTGCTACCTGTAGAAAGCTGTACCTGAGATTGTAGGCTCACGTAGCTGCCCGCGGGATCTTGCAAGTGAGAACCATTGGGCGCTATGATACCGGGTTGGAGCTGGCTCCCACATGTGGGCTCCTGCGGGTAGGTATAATCATGATAGTTATGGGCACTCGGCGCGTGGGGCATTCCGGAATCGTTGCCTAAGGGCTGACTGAAGCTGTGGCTCGTTGATTCCATAGTCTGCAGGGCCGGCTGATGCGGCGGTAGGTAGCTTGATGGGTCACCTTCTCCGTGACTTTGTAGATCCCATTGGCCTGAGTAGCTTTGCCAATGAGCCATTTGGTTACAAGTATCGACTGTGCGGCACCATCAGTCCGTGATCAGATGCATAGCACGGCTCGAAGCTGTTGTGCTTACCTTTCGGACTGAAACAGGCTCAAATAAAAGTTAGAGGCAGCGGCGGGCTTGGGCAGATGAAAGTCAATCACGGAATGCTCTCTTCTAAACAAGGGAAGCGATAACAAAATTACTGTAGCAAACTCGCGGGCGTTGACTCTGATATCCGAGTCATGCCACTGGCATCTAATAAGATCCATTATGATCTTATCGTGGATAGATGATTTACTAGATCCTTAGTCGTTCGAAGTTGCGCTTACCTCGAGGCCGCCCCCTCAACATTTTGATTGGTTGAAAGAATACAACGGGATGTTTGTGACAGAGTTAGTATTAATTCCCGTTACTAGTAATTAGTAAGTAAGGTCAGGGTTTATTGAATTGAGCCCTTAGCGAGGCCTTAGTACTTACTATTGGTTCAGATCCTGGTTCAGATCGAAATGTAAGGCTCGGGGCGGTTCACCAATCGACTCGAAGCATACCGTAGCACGTTTCTAGAAATACACGTTGTGACTAGTTAAACACAATTGCGGTAGTCAGCGATCATGATTTGCAAAAGGGGTATTCTTACTAGAACCAACGTTTTGTGACGAGAGTCATCATGATGGTCGACCTGTTACTGTTCCGAAATACTCTGACCCTCGAACTTTGAAGATATGTACCTTACCTCGCTTACAGTACCAGCACCGAGAGGATATGATCTTCGGGTCATCATTATGTGATGTGTCGCAGGGGGCGATAGACCAGGTAGGAAACGTTGTCCGAGTCATCCGAGTCCGAGTCTTTGCCGTTGTCCAGGTCGTTGTCATTCCAGACGTTGGCATTGTCGAGTGCTAAAAGTCGTTCCATATAGTACATATTGGTAGTAGTTCCTGACGGCTTTTCGTACCAGTGTCGGGCAGAACGAAAGGGATTCAAAATGTTGATGGACCGCGGTGTAGAGACTCGTGTGTCTCATGGTGTGATATGGCAGGTTTCACTAGGAAGTATACAGCACAAACTCGCAGCGTCATTCTGTGCGCTACCCACAGCTATCTCTATATGACGCGCAGCTTTCCCACGCAACGCGCGCCATGCGCGCACCATTCCCGCGCTTCGCGATGTATACGCGCGCGCGCTGTAGAGAATCATGCCTCTCATGGCGTGATATGGTAGTTTTCACCAAGGAGTATACAGCACGAACTCATAGCATTACTCTGTGCGCTACCCGCAGCTATCTCTATATGAGGCGCAGCTTTCCCACGCAACGCGCGCCATGCGCGCACCATTCCCGCGCTTCACGATGTATACGCGCGCGCGCGTTCCCGCGCTTGCGCGCCCTATAGCGCCAGCCATCCAGATGCATCCATCCACTGTCCACCAAGCTCCCTAGTATGTATATTTCCATTTCCTTTATTAGCATAGTTCCACCTTTATTTTTATCATAGTTTCTCACTCATATATATTTTTACATACCTACTCGGTAGCGCTTCGGCTCCGCATGAGCGCGCTTAGGCGCGCTATATAAGCGCTAGCAGTACATACTACACTGGACCTACTTTTCCCTACTTTTCACTTACTAGTTACTACCCACTTACTACTTAGCAGAATATAGTAGAAAGCTATTCCTTTACATTTTGCACTCTTATATCTCTTATCTTGCTTTATATCACTACTTAAGCTTAGTTTCTCATTTCCGCATACGCGCACGCGCTTTCCCGCGCTTCGCGCTAATACGCGCGCGCGTTCCCGCGCCTTTGTACCTTGCGCGCTCCTGCGCTTTCTCGCGCTTCGCTTAAGCGCACACTTCTAGATCCTTGCTGCACTCACTTCCCCTATAGGGTCAAACGCACTTGCTTCTCAAGTAACGCAGACTAGGCAGCGCGCGACCTTACAACTTTTACAGATACAGTCAGGAGCTTCTTTTGTTCCTCATTGTATTGTTGTTTCTACAGCGGCCAGTGCTCCTAGCTTGGGTACAACAGCGAAAGTTGCCATATACAGTCGACGAGTATCATATTATGTTAACGTACTGCATTTATGAACGCCTGGCAAAATCCTGAGTTATCCCTAATCAAGCCACCACTTGCGAGTAACGTACAAAGTATGTCCGACGAATAAACTTAAAGTTTGAACATTGAACGTTTGATGAACCGATAGTACCAAATGCAGCCTGTAGGAGTGTATTCACATAGTAAGCACTGGTAAGCGAGCGAAGGACGAAAAAAGAACAATTAGTTACCCGCAGACTCATTTGTGTCATGAATGCGATGTTGCCGTTACTGGCGTTTCATTGGTCTTGAGAGTTTCAGCTCTGTAAATAAGAGGCTGGAGCTGTTTCACAGGAGCGCTTCGTGGAGGAGTAGATTCAACGACAGTGATAGTGTGGATCGGTTGTCAACGAATCAGATACTGTTGGAAGAGTGTTTTGAGCAAGGGCCGCATGATGCTACTGTGACGAGTAGTTAGAAGTATGCCTGTTCAAAGCGACGGAAGCACGACTCACCTGAGGATACCAACATTCAATGTTGCCCAAGGCACCCCAAGACAATACTTTTTTGAACGGGTACAGAACCCGATGCTGAACGTACGTGTATCTCTACCCAGTCTTCAAGCTCGACTTCTATTCTAGAATGACGATACAAGGGCCTCGAGTCGTCGGAACGCTGAAACTTCGAAGAGCAGACCATTCGCGACCCAACTTGACTAGAAGTAAAGACTGTGGTTGTCGTACATTATCTTGCAGAACGATTCGCCATCAGACCATCAAGTCAAAATCATGATATCCGATGAGGGGTCACAGTAAGACGTTGTTACTAGCTCTTCAAGTTAAAGGCCTTCATCCCGCTTCCCATATATCTCCTCATCATACTTGAGGATATCGAAGACCGACTGCCATTCGGTGCCCGTCTTCTCACGACGGATACGTTTGATGGGAGCACCAGGCAGAGACAGCTGCTTGGGCACACGACATGGAGCGATATTCTCCTTGTTGAGGTCGTTGTTGGAGTCGATATTGACATCATCAAGCTTCCGCTTGTGAGCACTGCGAGTAGCTTGTGCTCGTATAACCTCGTCTACTCAATCAACTTCTTTCTAAGAATTATGTAAGTGTTGCGAACAGTAACACAGACACTGAAAACACTCACCTTCCTTTCACTGTCCTTCTCAGGCTGTTCATCATTCTGCATTAAGCTGGCGGCTGACCTCTGATTTTCGGATATCCTGTCTAAAAGCACTGCAAGTACGTCTTGATGTTTGAGAAACTGTGCCATCTTGTTGCGAACGTCCATATACGCAGTGTTTCGGAAGTAACCTCGTTTATAGCTTCATGACCGCATTTCCATGCCTGCAAGCTAACGGAGAACACACCCTGCAAGAATTCTAGCCCTTTGTCAGCCATAGGAGTAACGAGAATGATCGGGTCGCTGAAGAAAGGGTGGACGACAACTTACTTTCGAATTACGTCATGTGTTTGAAGACCTGACGTCCCAATTAGGCTGCCAGGTCAGGGTAGACCAGTCGTGGGACTCGGAGCTTTCTTGCAGGCTGGCCACATGAATTGCCTCAACTTGTTAGTGAATCCGCGGCAGGTTGTCCTTTGCTTTCAACATGATGACTTGGATGATGGCCCAAGTTGTTCAGTCCGGAGCTGCAGACTCGGAACTCCCGTAAAAGTAAGTCGAAAGTACCAGCTTCCCGACTCAGAACCTCGAACTATATCTTATTATATATCTGAATTACATGGGGCCGGTCGAGTCATTCGAACTCAGTGATTTATGATGGCGGTGGCAGCCACATCAAATTCCTCCCTTTTTGGGTGTCAATGTTCAAACATCCAAACATTCACTGAGTATAAGTAAGTACTATATATGAGAATGTCGATATAAGAAGTTATAGCTGTTTTGAAACTCAGTCACCTCCCTACTGCTGTCACTTGCTGAAATTACTACGGCTAGAATTCGTGCATGGCCTGTATTACTTGTCCTATTAGGGAGTCTAGTCCTGTTTATCAAAGCAGGAAAGGACGCAGTCCACGTACTATCGGTCCTGTTCTGAAGCAGGATTCAGATAGTTTTCCGACTCCGAGTCTCTCTAGGACTCCGAGCCGTCAGCGTCATGTCTCGCGAACTATACCCATCAAACCTCCAACTTCACCGCCTTCATCTGACACACCCTACGATTCATCCGATGATGATATCATCGGACCTATTACACCTCCCGCGATACTTCACCACCTGTCTAATTATGCGAAGAGCGCAAAGAAAAGACCCAAGCCCTACCAAAGAAGTGTTCCCAACATAATAGAGCGCCTCTGTGGTGAGGAGTGTTCGGGGTGCACTCGCCCCAAGGATTTGCCGAGTGATCAAAGGGTATGTTAATCTATATATGTTGTATTACTTATAAATGTTGGTCCAGGAAAGCACTCGATTGCAACGTAGATTGAAGAACCTGACCCCCGTGGCCCTCGCCCATGCCGTAATCGCGATCCAAGCTGACATTGAATGGAGGCGCGTGCGTGCTATAGCAGCTGCTTTGCACGTCGACGCGGTCCAGAAACATTCCATGTTTCTTGATGTAACTGCTAAGAGTGAAGCTGAAACATACGTCAATGCTGTTTCGGAACCATTTGAAGCCGCTTGCGAGTCGCTCGCTAGTCGTACAACTGACGAGCTTAACGATCGCAGAAATTGTACTATTGCCGCGTACGAGCTTGATGAGATGTCGTTCACTGCTGCCGACACAGAGTTTGATCATTTTGAAAATATCGCGTGTATGTACGTTTGTCTGCTTAAAAACAATACCACTGCTAATTGATCATTGCAAGTAGTGACTGTCCTGGACTCGGATGGTAGCACCACCAGTTCAGACGAAGAACTTTTTGACGATAACTGAGGTAATTAATTTTCTGCTATATTGCAACCATCGTACTAATCTCGCGTAGCAGGCGCTGAGAGACTCTGGGAACATTTCTCCCTCAATCAATTCACTAGTGCTATCAGATCGTGGCGCGGGACACTGCGCTCTCATTTGTAGTATTATTTGTGTACCCTATCTATTTACTCCTTGCAATCTACGTCGTATGACAAGCATGTAGAGGCTGAAAATACTCTTTAGACTCGCATCCACCCCCACATGATCATCGGTGTCAATATTTCCCTCAGTCATCTCTTCAAACCTACCATCTCCGGCGTGGAGCAAGTTATTGCATTTTGACCTGACCGGTCCTTGGATAAGAATGGAGAGGAGCATGAGACTGACCCTCGGACGATCTGCTTGACTTTGGCGACGGTAAGCGTGAAGTTTGTTTTGAGCGTGTGACTAACTTTCTCGCCGGACTGTTACAAATAGATACTCCCAACCGCTAGACGACAATTTTCTCATGCGGGGGGATGATATGGTGCCCTATAATCTAGTGAGCAGTGCACCTTTTTCTCACTTTGCTTTTGTCGTCGACATAGTTTTGATAAATTTCTCAGTGTCCCACAGGATCCATCATGATTCTGTTTGCCAGCACTAGACCCATGTCATACAGAATACGGCCTCCGATACTCGGGCAGAACCTTCCGCCATGCCTAGTAGCGGCTGCAGCGGTCCTTTCTTTTTTTTTTGAAGGACTTCCCCCTTCTCAAGTCTCAACACACGCCACACCAGTTTCCCGAGTTGCCATCAGTGAACTGGTGGACATGCCGTTCATTCTCACTAGTAGGCTTTCAATTTCTATCATAGTACCCCTCGGCATGTCTGATCAACAGCTACAAGTCTGTCTGCTTGTGTTCCGCATTTAGAAGCCGTGCTCGGGCTAGCCTAGCGTTGGAAGCGAACACTAGAAAAATTGCACGTTCCTTGCACCATACCAAACTGGCGGTCGCGAAAAGTATCAATTTGATTTCAGCATGTTGTCCCTGCCTCGCATGATACGCTTATGCCATTTTCAGCGTCCAGTTTTAACGTCAACGCGCTTTATTCACCCTGACATGTCCATTTCCGGCTTATAAAATTTGCTACTGACTTAAGGATTATTAGCCATGCGTTTTAGGCAGCTGCCTTTTCCAATCATTACTGGACGACAATCATATAAAGCATGAGCAGGATCAACCTGGCGAGTCCTGTCCCTCATCTCTAACCCACTTCGATAGACTCAATTCTTCACTTCTCTTCGGTGGAAGTTCATGTCTCAGGCTGCGGTAGAGGACGCATCCCAACCTCCGGAAGCGTCACTGGCAGTGGCGACGTCTGAGACTGCTCATCAGAGGCAGAAAATTGCTGCCTTAGAGGAAAAGCTACAGGTGCTGGAGTCGGGGCATGCGGTCAAACAAAGGTATGAATGCTATTTACACCTATTTCAGTTCGTTCACTATGAATTTCAGGGAAATCAACTACTACATGTCGAAAGGAAGGGCCATCAGACGCATCGTCACGTTATTTGACAACATTGAAGACTTAATAGGCGAAAACGATAGGAGGTGCGATTTGGACGGCGAGGACGAAAATGTAACTCTCGAGTGAGTATTTCTTTTGCTTGTGCCTCGCGATCGCTGATTACTGGTTCGTCATCATAGTCAGGAATGTTTGCAAACCAGTTTCATCTCCCTCACCCACGCTCTCCCGTGGCTTCACTCCAGGGCTTCAGACTTGGAGTACGATGAGTACTCGCACATGCTTAAAAAGGTATTCTTTACCCGCACAAACCATTTACCTTCTGCTGAGTCGTTGTTTAGCTTAGGCAGGGGGCCGATAGTGGTCGAGGGGATGACACCTCAAAGCTCAAGAGCCTGGTTGCCAATTGGGTCAATCGCGAATTTAAGCCCAACCCCCCGGTCAATCCCGACGACAAATACTGCCGTGGATTCGTCAACGACTCGTGTGGCAGACTTCTTTGCCCGACTGAGCTGGATTGGAACAACCCAACGTGAGTATCCCACTTAAATTTTACGCGACACTAACTATCTGCCAGCGTCAGAACAGGAATTAGGGATTGCGCAGACGGTTATGTTGTGACAGAAATGTCCTGGCCAGCATTCCTGTATGAACAATACACGGCAGATCAAAATGATCTGGAGAAGGGCCTATTCAAGAGCACTCTTTTGCTTCAGGTCAGTCATTCCGGAGTAGCTCAACAAAGTTCTCATTTTTGCAGGCCTTCAAAGCCATATTCACATCACCCTCTTCCGCACGGGAGGTCGCCGGTGATGGTGACGCTGACAATGTGATCCAGGCCAACCGACGCGCTAATAAGGATTCACATTTTGGAAAGAAAGTCAAGACACACGTGGCGCAAATCATCAAGATGCATACAGTCACACCCCGTTCGATCGCTTATGTATCATGTCAGGTGAGTAGTAATAACTTCTAATTTATTTGCAGAGTGATAATATGACACAAGTTGCGATTCGCTCTGTCCTCTGTGAACTCATGGCGCTCGATTGACGGCGACTTCGACTACATACCATTTTGGCAGAACATCATAGACTTCTTCGAAAGGCCCCCTGGTCGAACAGCGCAGCAAAACGTCAAGCGACTCCTGGCATGGTGGACGAGGTGCATTTCTTACACCCTCGACAATTGTCCTTCATTAATCTCCGTTTTTCAGGAAAGTCTTCGGAACAAGTCGCCGTGCAGAACTCAGCGATGGCGTGAAGGCCAGAATGTCAGTAAACGCTCTCGCAAGACAAAGGGCACAAGTAGATGATGCCCTTTTCGATTCAGAATAATTCATTTCTCGTGTTTGTTATATAGCATTCATATGATGTAGTATTAGTAGTTTACAGTGGTACCCTGCAATTCTAATGCCATCATTGAATCATACCTGCTCATTGTGAAACTCTGGGATATGTGATACTATTTGCACATCATGCTTGTGTTGTAAATTATGCAAGCACAGCAAGAGGTTTGGATCTTCGTTCTTGAATTGTCAGAAGTCGAACCTGGGAAATGCAGCATGACATTGGTAATATATGTATTTCCTACTTACTATCCCACTCGAGAAACGAAATGGGTGCATGTGAGGTAACAGAAATTTCTACTTATCGCTCCCACCACAGACGGAAAGTGTGAAGGCGCGCAGTGATACAATGTAGCGAAAAAAATACTGATATCCATATTTTCTTCAACCGTTCTGTTCGAATGGAAGAAGGTTCTTATGTACGAAGTGACTGAATTTTTTGCCCATTACTCCGCTTGCAGCGCAGAAAGTGTATATGTGCGAAGTAACAGTAATTATTGAACATGCCGATATGTAAGCCAAGCTCACGATATAAGGACTAGTCAGGATATATTTTCAAGCACCGAGCTAAGATACTATACTATAAATATGCAACATCGGTGCCAAGCTGCCAACCCTTGGGAAGCAGTACAAGTGGAGTACAGCTTCCAGCCAGTAGAGACTCGAAGAAGGTCCCGTGGAAAGTTAAATATAAGTTGATTGTCGCTCGCTCACTGAACACATCTGGCTGGTGGGCCCGGGTAGCGCTTCTTCCCACGAATTCCCAATCAATGTAAAGCAGGCAATCGTTAGATAATCTAAGAAAAATGCGTTAAAATTTCATTCAAGACAACGGTTGATTGTCACTGACTCGATGAGTACATTTTCTGACGTGGTGGTTGTAATACATCTAGTTTGTCTATCAGAATTCGTTCCAGGTTCCCTTGAAAATGAGTAATTCACGATGAATGGCCCACATCCGCAAATGATATCTAGCCGACAAACATTAGGTATCTGAAGAAAGTCGAGACAATATTCACAGTAGGGCATACATTTATTCTTGTTCGATACTCACAGAATGTTGCATGGCTACGGACGAGTAAAGCTTTTGTATACTGATTCGCAATTGATTGTATAACGGACAAACATTGACTATTTGAAGAAGGCGGCATCAAAATTTACAGGAGGACATGAATTCGTTCTCGCGCACTTGGTAAACGTTTTGTTGTCAGAATTCTGAGTAAAATAAGGAATTTATCGTTGCTCACTTGGTACACATATTATCGTCATCGGGAAGGTTATGATTCTCATGCCTGGCTTTGACATCGTGAGACTCACTTCTGATGCACCAATTGCGTTTCATCTAGCTTGATCATCACCTCTTGCTCCACTTTCCCTTCAAGTTGAAGTTCGAACGATGTATGGGTGTTCTCCCGAGCATCAACTGGTGTAGGAATTTTAGGGACTGTTCTTTCCTGTACAAGGTCAAACATCACAATGTGACGATCGATAACAGAATTATGATGATGTTTGTGATTATGTACTATATATTATTATATATGATCTTCTCATCTTTCCGCCAGTTCACTGATGTACGCGTCTTATAAGAATGGCCCGAATGACCCCAATGGTTTGACCTGCACGTGGATCCCACCGAACAAACAGCTTGAATCTGTTCGTCTAACGTTAGTCTCAAATGCTAGCTCGTGGTACATGCACATAATACGGCCTGCGGTAGCCAGCCTGGTTGTACGTACGGTAGTATTAGCCCAGCCTGACTCGCCCGGTGGAAGTTGTTTACCTCTATTGAATTGTAAAGCTGTTGACTAAGCTCCTGTACGACCTCGTTAACTCATTCAATAAATTATTACCCAGGGTGCTAGAACATGTTATGGCGTATTCTGATACATGACTAGTATCCAACTCGAGATGGTCTATAAAGAAGTCCGAAGCACACATTATCATGGCATCTCCATATGACATAAGGGAATTTCATTCTATTTTCGAGTTCTCGGATAGATCATAGTTTATTGGGAGCTGGTGTCTATTTATTTTTTGACTCAGAACATCAAGGGTCTTACTGTGTCAAAGATACATGGTAATTATAACAGTGGAACGTCTTGTCCGAGGGTTCTAGACTTATGACCGTCCTTCAGGCGACCAAGGAGGATTATTAGTCTCAATGCCGCCG